CGATAGCATTTAAGGTGTACCATGGAAGAGATGAAAAAGCCCATAAAAGGAGCTGCCAGATGCTGGCAAGCACTGCCCGACCGGCTCCCTGAAAGCCGTCTGGTCCCTGTTTCAAGTGTGGGAGAGAAGGCCATTGGGCCCGGGCTTGCACCGCCGGCCCACGAAGAGCACCGACAAAGCCTTGTCCAAACTGTTACCAAAAGGGTCACTGGTCAGCTGACTGTCCTAATGTCCCAAGCGACATAGGAATGCCAGATGAAGACCACCCTCCAGCTGACTTTGTAGGCTTGGCTTACAGCGAGGACTGACGCTGCCCGGTTTCTGCCCCGGCCACTCCCATCTCACTCCCATCTCACACAGGGAACCTAGGGTAATTATAAAGGTCAATGGGCACCCCATCTGGTTCCTTTTGGACACCAGAGCTACCTTCTCTGTCCTGAGAGAGTTTTGGGGGCCCACCTCTCCTGCTCGTCTCCCTATTGTCGGGGTTGGGGGACAGCCTTATCTACCTCATCAGACACCACCACTCAATTGCATTTTCAGAGGCATCCCTCTCACACACACATTCTTAGTGGTGCCAAGCTGCCCTGTACCTTTAATGGGGAGGGATCTTCTAGCTAAGGTAGGAGCATCCATTTCTTTCGCTCCACACATTCGCCTCATCCCAGACGCGCCAGCAGCTCCTTTACTTCTCCTCCTAGCCACTCACTCTTCTGACTCTAACAATTCTTTTCCCCTACCAGCTTCTCAGGTAGACCCAAAAATCTGGGATACCCAGAACCCTTCTATTGCTAGACACCATCAGCCTGTTATTATCCAGCTACAAGATCCTGCAAGGTATATCACCCAAGCTCAGTATCCTCTCTCACTCCAGAACCTAAGAGGACTTAAGCCTATCATTTCTGACCTTCTCAGGAAAAAGCTGCTCCACCTAACCTCTTCACCTTTTAACACTCCCATACTTGCAGTTAAAAAGTCTAACGGAACCTACCGCCTGGTTCAAGACCTCCGGCTCATTAACTCTGCAGTGGTCCCTCTCCATCCTGTAGTGCCTAACCCTTATACTCTCCTGCCCACTATCCCTTCAGGAACCTCTCACTTCTCAGTTCTAGATCTCAAAGATGCCTTCTTTTCTATTCCTCTCAGTCCTCAGTCTCAGTATCTTTGCTTTTACCTGGACTGACCCTGACACCCACCAGTCCACACAGCTGACCTGGACTGTTCTGCCTCAGGGATTCAGAGACAGTCCACACCTATTTGGTCAAGCTCTGGCCTCTGACCTTCTTTCTCTGTCTCTCCCTGGCTCTAAACTAATACAGTATGTAGATGATACTTTACTCTGTAGCCCGTCCTTACAGGTTAGCCAAACTAACACCTCTGCTCTCCTAAATTTCTTATCCAGCTGCAGTTACAGGGTATCTCCTTCTAAAGTTCAGCTGTCAACTCCCCAGGTCACCTATTTAGGTCTATCCATTACTCCAACTCACAAGGCTATTACTGTAGACAGGAAGCATCTAATCCAGTCCCTCACAGTCCCTTCTACTAAACAGGAGATTCTGTCTTTCCTAGGAATAGCTGGCTTTGTACGGTCCTGGGTTCCATCTTTTTCTCTCCTTGCTCGCCCCTTATACGAGGCAGCTCAGGGCTCACCGCACGAGCCCCTCCTTCATCCTGTCACTAAACCTTTCCAAAAGCTCCAGCAGGCTCTTCTTCAGGCTCCAGCGCTCCATCTCCCAGACTTAACCCATCCCTTCTCCCTCTATGTAGCAGAGAAGGAGGGATTTGCCCTGGGAACTCTAGGGCATCAGCTGGGACCCTCCTTTGCACCTGTAGCCTATCTGTCAAAGAAGCTAGACCTTACCAGTCAGGGCTGGGCACCTTGCATCCGTGCCTTAGCAGCTGCAGAGCTCCTTATTCGGGAATCAAAGAAGCTAAGTTTTGGGTCATCTATTACTGTTTTCTCTCACCATAATCTGTCCCATCTTTTAACTTATAAAGGCTTACAAACTTTGCCTCCTTCCTGAGTTCTTTCTCTCCAGGTGGCATTACTAGAGGATGCCATGCTTACTTTCCAGACCTGTCCACCTCTTAATATTTCAAGCCTCCTTCCTCAACCTAACGCTGACTATTCTCCTTTTCATTCCTGCACTGAAACTTTAGAAGACCTGCTACCTCACCCTTCACACATACAGGAGGGCACATTGCCTCAGGCTACTTATACCTGGTTCACAGATGGCTCCTTCTTATATGAAGGGACCCGTAAAGCGGGTTATGCCATAGTGTCAGATACTGAGATAGTAGAGGCACAGGCATTACCCACACACACCACCAACCAACAGGCTGAGCTGATAGCTCTCACCCGTGCCTTCCAATTGGCACAGGGACAATCTCTAAATGTTTACACAGACTCCAAATATGCTTTTCATATCCTCCTGTCCCATGCTGCTATTTGGAGGGAGCGTGGCCTTCTCACAGCAAAAGGGGGATCCATATCTAACTCAGGCCAAATAATGGCCATGCTGGAGGCTTCCCACCTCCCCAGGGCTATAGGAATTGTCCACTGCTGGTCTCATCAGATGGATAGCTTCATCATCTCTAAGGAAAACAACTGGGCTGACCAGGCAGCCAGGACAGCGGCCCTCCAGGGCCAAGTCTCACCTCACCCACCACAGGGAATCCATACAGTACAGCCTACACCCTCACAGGGAACTCCAGACACTAGACAAATTCTTTCCTATCTACACCAGCTCTTTCATCCTAATAATCTTGCTCTGTCTCAATTTGTAAAAACTCACCTGCAGCCCACCTCTGAGGATTTACAGTTCTTAAGAACTATTACTGCCTCTTGTGAGATCTGCCAAAAAACAGATCCCAATACCAAGTACAGGAGTCAGTCTTTTCCCACCCACCAGGCTAGAGGTTCCCTTCCAGGGACTGACTGGCAGCTCGATTTTACCCATATGCCCACCGTCAGGAAAGTTAAGTATCTCCTCGTGATGGTGGACTCATTTTCAAATTGGGTGGAGGCATATCTGGTTTCTAATAAGCGGGCTCAGACAGTTGCAGACCTCCTTCTCCGAGAAATTATTCCTCGGTTTGGAGTCCCTGCTTCTCTCCAGTCTGACAATGGCCCAGAATTCACTTCTCAGATTTCTCAGACACTAGCTAAGGTGTTAAATATTCCCTGGAATTTCCATATCCCATACCATCCTCAATCCTCAGGAAAGGTGGAGCGTACCAACCGGTCTTTAAAAACTATTCTTACTAAGATGTCACAGGAACTTCATCTCGACTGGGTAAGATTATTGCCTCTAGCTCTCCTCAGGCTCAGGGCTCTCCCTAAAAAGCCTCTTTCAATCTTTCCATTTGAACTAATGTATGGAAGGCCAGTTCTAACACCAGGTCTTTTATCCAAACTTCCAACTATTCCAGATAGCCTGTTAACTCCCCTTTTATGTCACCTAAGGTCTATTCTATGGAGCTATGCAGACTGTTCATTACCTCGGCCGTGTGACAATAATTGTCCACCTCCAATACACATTGGGGATCAGGTTCTTCTCTTCCCTCCAGGCCAGCGCCCTTCACCCCTTTCCCCTAAGTGGCAGGGACCCTTCAAGGTAATTCTTATGACTCCTACAGCTGCTAAACTCGAGGACTTTCCTCACTGGGTCCACCTGTCTCATCTAAAACCTTTTATCTCACCTCCATCCCAGAAAAATCTCTCTTCATATACAGTGAAACAAACAGGGCCTCTCACTCTCAAGCTCACCAGGCCTCTCACTCTCAAGAGGACACCAGGATCCACTGCCTTGTCACCAATTCCAGAGGAATAAGGTATCACCCCTTCATTTCCCAACCAGGGCCACACAGAGCCGGAGGAAAAAAGGACCATCAAAAATATCCAGGCGGGGCCGGGCGGTGGTGGCGCATGCCTTTAATCCCAGCACTCGGGAGGCAGAGCCAGGCGGATCTCTGTGAGTTCGAGGCCAGCCTGGTCTACCAAGTGAGTTCCAGGAAAGGCGCAAAGCTACACAGAGAAACCCTGTCTCGAAAAACCAAAAAAAAAAAAAAAAAAAAAAAAAATATCCAGGCGGTAAGGAATAATGTAATGCAATAATCTATCATCGTTCAATACTCAGCACCTGATCACCTGCGTTTCCTAAATGCTAACCTAATAAGGGAAACAGGTGCCTTAAATAAACTACCTCTAATAAGGCTTGTCTCAGATAAAAATTAAGCAGAGTACTAAGGCCAGATCTACCTCAGGTAAATATCACATGTCTCTATCTGGACAGGCCAGATCTACCTCAGACAAATGCCAACTCCAAAATAAAATAATAATGATTCTTTCTCTCTAAGCCTTTTCTATGTCAACAGTATCTTGTCAAACAGAAGGTTCCCAGCCACAGCACGGATGGACAGCCGCAGAACGAGGGGACGGCAGAACTTCATTCCAGGACCTGCCCACCATCATCCCAGGACTTCACAAGATACCCTCTCATCCCCCTGCCCCCAAGAGCCAACCAACGCCCACTATTCAGCTGAAAGCCCCCATACCCAGTCAACCACAATTTTTTTCTTTTTTAAAAAAGGAAGAGTCAGGGATGAAAGATTTACAAAAAGCCCACATGGTCAGGTGTGTTTGCATATGCCTGGTGGACACTTCAGCCTAGCCAGGCCCAGGCCAGGATAGCCATTTCCGGGTCAGGGCATCTCGCGTGACCAAGATCTGTGATGTCCCACTAGTCACGTAGGCGCGCAATGTGGCCATGCGATCTACGTACGTGCTTGCGTGTAGTAGTGATGCTGATCTGTCCATGCCCAGCCTTTAAAAATCTGGCACCATGTTCCCAGTTCCTTCTTCTCTACACACGTGTTTCCCGCAGGCCTGTTCACTCTCTGTCCCTTTACCTTTAATAAAACCCTTGTTAGCGGATTCTGTCGTGTTTCGTGGCATTTCCTTGCAGGGTAAGCACACAACGCAGCCGAAAAACTAACACCCAGCCCTAACACCCAGGCGAGGGAAGGGGCTGAGGCACCTCCATCCAGAGGCTTTTCATCATTTTCCTCCTCAGAGAGTTCCTTTGCAGAGAAGATCCCAATTGTTTTGGAGTCCCCCAGTAAAGTTTTACCAGGTGAGGACATGCATCCCTGAATGCTCATTGTGGAAGACAGGCCACCTGGAGGGTGAAGGGCACTTACAGGTTATACAATCCAGCTGTGCTGGGAAACTCAGACCCAGGAATCCCAGCCCCATCCTTTTTCCCCAGACCATGAATCTAACCCCGCCTTCCTTCCTCCATCCAGGACTCCAGGGCCCAGCTCTACTCCCTGATAGGCTAAAGGCCCAACCCTCAGCCTCATGAGTCCAGGCCCAGCCCTCCTCCCTCAGACCTCAGGTTTTGGGTACCAGCCCTCTTCCCTCAGACCCAGGGGTCCAGGCCAGCCCTCCTCCCTCAGACCCAGGGAATCAGGCCCAGCCCTCCTCCCTCAGACCCAGGGTCCAGACCCAGCCCTCCTCCCTCAGACCTCAGGTTTTGGGTCCCAGCCCTCTTCCCTCATCCTAATGAGTCCAGACTCCTGTAATCCTCCCTCAGACCATGGATTCCAGGCCTCAACTCTTCCTTCAGATGAGTCTTGGCCACAAACCTCTTTTCTTAGACCCAGTGGTCCCGGCCCATCCCTCTTCCATCTGAGGCAACCTCATCTCTTCTCCCTCAGACCTAGAAGTTAGGGAACAACCCTCCATCCTCAACCCTGGAGCCCTGGTCCTGCCTCTTCCAATCCTGCAGCCTAGCCTTCAGCACTCACCTCCCTGGAGCACAATGTCACCATTATAACAGTGAGTGTTACCCTGAGGGTAGGCCACAAAGTTGGTGTCATTGAAGCAGGATCCAAATAACTCCACACACACTGGACACTGCAGGTCTCTAGGGGGAAGGACAGCTGAGGACAGAGAGAAGGACTGGGATGCACTGCATGCTCTCAGCTACAGCCACCAGCTTAACTCCCAAATGTCTGGGTCCTTCCATGTCCCCGGATCCCATACTTGGACGAGGGAGGGGGCTCAGCAGGATGCTGCTGCTGCTGGCTTCGTTGCACAGGTTGGAGGAACAGAAGCGTGAATAGGAAGCCACCAGTATTCCAGGGGGCCGGGAGTGTATGGAGACACCGGCACTGTCCTCTGCCCCAGGCCTGATGCAGCCTTTGCTCCCTATTAGGAGTGTTTTTGGTCCTGCTGGTATAAGAGAATGAAAGCCAGGCTTGGATGGGGAGGATGGCCAGGCCTGGGGGCCACTTCTTGGGTCCCCTGATGTTCCCAGTCACAGGGAGAGCACAACGCCCAGGGACAATGGGACACAGCATGTCCTGTGTCAGCCAAAGCCTGCAGCACAAGCCTGGCTCCTTCTGCCCTGCCCCTGCACATCCTGTTGAACAGTCTCCACAGTCTGCCCTGAGCCCCTCCTACAGGCTGCAGCCTCACTCTGCTCACCATCTCCTCTACCCTGCTGGATTTCTCTCCACACTCTGCCCTTCACACCCACAGCTGGCTCCCTGTGGTCTGCTTCTCTCCTTTCCCACTTCCCTGTAAAGCTGCAAAAGGCTGATCCCCAAACAGGTGTTAGACTCCCCACCAGGTCCCCACCTTGTAGCTCTTCTCCCCTCCCCCCCCACCACGCCCCCACCCCGTCCCTCTTCTCCCCTCCCCACTCCACCATCCCTCCCTCCCCTCCTCTCTCTGTTTCTCTAGCTCTTTGCCTCACTCTCTTGTTCTCTCTCTGAGAGTCTAGGATAGCCCAGCCAGGTCTTGAATTAACTGTATAGGTGTGGATGGCATTGAATTTCAATTTAACTGTCTCTTCCCTCCCAGCCCTGGGATTACAGGCAAGCCCAGTTTACCTGGTATCAGGAATCAAACTCAGGGCTTTATGCATGCTAAGCAGGCACTGTACCAAATGATCCTCCTTCAAATGATGGAGGTCATCAGGGTCCCTTGGGTTTTTACAGCACCATTCTCATTTCTGGGCTTGGGGCTACCTTACACCACTGTCCAGCAAGACAAGGCACAGAGAGAGGAGCTGGGCAGGAACTGCAGGGCACACAATCCAGGGCAGGGCTGGGCTGGCTGTACGGGCGAGAGGCCGTCCATCTCATCACACACACCTACGTCCACCAGCAGGAGAGTCTCCTGACATAACTCCTCAGGTTCACACACCAGGGTCGACGGTGCAGACCACGCTACAGCTGTTTCAGCAAAGCCACTGCCAGATTTCCTCATGATCCCCTTGTAACAGGTCAGAGTACCTGTGGAGAGGAAAACCACCAGGGCTTGGGAGAGTCAGGGAGGCACCACATCTGTCCCTGCAGTGTTCGGGCTAAGGGAGGCCATCACACTCTGACTCATACTCCCAGTGCTCTGGCTGTGACCTCCCTGTCTGCATTAAGAAGGGACTCAGAATCAAGGCTTCCAAGTGTGCAGCTCTGTTCACCCTCTTCCTCCCTGAACACCTGCCCTTCTCAGAGCCTCCTGAGGAAGGCTTGCTCCTCCACAGATGGCTCCCCTTCAGCCGTTCTCTACTCCCCATCTGCTTCATGTCCTCCTTAGAATAATGAGCAAGGTGGCCTGGAGCCTTCTCTTTCTCTCTGTGTGTCTTTGTGTGTGTACACATGTGTGTATGCCTGTTCATGTGTGTGGGTGTACGTGTGTGCGTGTGTGTGTGTGTGTGTGTGTGTGTGTGTGTGTGTGTGTGTGTGCATGTAGAAGCCAGAGGAAGCCCCAGCTGCCATCTTGGAGGAGTTACACATCTTGCTTCTCTGCAGCATGTACTTTTATTTTGTTATCTCCCTAGCCTACCTTCTCCTTTTTTACTTATATAACTTTTATTACATTGAAGTGTGTGTGTGTGTGTGTGTGTGTGTGTGTGTGTGTGTGTGTGTGTGTGTGTGCATATATGTGTTTCTGTATGTGTGCCACAACTTTGGGAGTTAGTTCTCTCCTGCCACATGAGACCCAGGGAGTGCTTTAACCTGCTTAGCCCTCTCAGCAACTCTGTTTTTGGAGACAGGATCTCTCAATGATCTGAAGCTCTTGAAGTAAGGCAAAGTAGGCGAGGAGGGCTGGCCAGCAAGTCCTGGGGGTCTGTCCATCACTGCCTTGCCAGGCCTGGGATTACAAGCATGTTCCACCCTCTCTCTCTCTCTCTCTCTCTCTCTCTCTCTCTCTCTCTCTCTCTCTCTCCTCCTCTCCCTCCTTCTCTCCCTCCCTCCCTCCCTCAACATGGATTCTAGGAATTGGACTCAGATTTTCATGTTTGCATAACAAACACCTACTGACTGGGCCATCTCCCCATCCTTAGACATTTCTTTGGACTGAGAAGCCCTAGATTACAAACAAACCTCTGGATCCACCTCTAGTGAGCACTGGGTCTGCTGGGTGCTAGGGTACAGAAGTGGCTCTCCACAGATGAGCCCACTGTGTCTCCGTGTGTGTGTGTGTGTGTGTGTGTGTGTGTGTGTGTGCACGCGTGTGCGTGTGCGTGTGCGTGTGCGTGTGCATGTGTGTGTGTGTGTGTGTGTGTGTGTGTGTGTGTGTGTGGCAGCTCTGCTGTGTGGTCCAGGCTGGCCTCCAGCTGGCAGCCCTCTAGCCTCTGCCTCTGGAGCGCTGGGATTGCAGAGCAGCCCTATCTTCACTGCCCACTGGACTGTCTCATTTCCCCACCACAACCCACAGCAAGTGGCAGCATCTCAAGGCAGGGAAGCAGAGCAGTAAGTGCTGAGGACTTTGCCCAATGTCACCTGGCATTAGGTGGCAGAGCTGGACTCAGAATTCAGGCTCTCTGTCCCCTTAGGGTCAGGGTTGAACACAGCAGTCTAGTTTGAGGACCTTGAAGTTGGCCTTCCCTAAGGACCTGACATGATCATCACATAATGTCGAGTACCCTGTGATGAAGAAATTCTTAGAGCTGGGACTGTGTGTCCACTAGCACCCCAGCCTTCTTGCTGGCTCACAGGGGGTGCTGGCCATTTCCTCACTTCCCAGGTGACAGATGTGCAGCTCCAGCTGCTGTGCTCCTGCAAACCAGATGTGCACTCTCCCTGCTCCACCCCTCCACACCCTCCCCATTTGCTCAAAGGTGGCCTCTTTCCCCTGTAGCACAAGGAGCATAGCCACCGGATTCTCATCCACGTTTTCTCTCTAGCCCATGCTGCCTTCTCCAGGAAACCCTGTGGCTTAGGCTGCACAGCATTGCAGAACCCTAGGGCTGTCACCACCTCGAAAGTGCTGCAAGATCCGGCTGCAAGATCCCAGATGCTGCCTGACTGTCATGGGTCTCTCTGAGCCCCCCTTCACTTCTCCTCTACCTATTTACCACCAATAACTGGAATCCTCTTAAAGGATAAGGCAATCATGTCAGGCCTCTGAGAAACCCCGAGAAGCCCTGGGAAGGCAGAAACTTCTGTTAGGTCCCCATCTCTCCCAGAATAAAATCTGTTGTCTTAAAATGGCCCCCGGGCCCCCATGTGACCTATCCTTCCTACTTCTTCATGGTCGCATCCTCCTCCTCTCTGCCTGGTCACTATGACACAGAAACAGCCCTTAAGGCTAGGGGGATGACAGTGTCAGGGACTAATGGAAGACAGAGGATGTGCTCTGGGGACAGCAAGGGGAGGAAGGCAGAGGCAGTAGAGCGTCACTGTTAATCAAGCACTGCCTCCCTATGGACCAAGCAGGGTTCTGGTGACCAATGGTGTGTCAGTACAGACATGGAATATGACAGGCACATGGGCCACCTCTAGGTACTTCACAGGCTCCTGTCCCCAGTGTCACAGAGCATTCCCTCCACCCTCCTCAGCCTGGTCTAAGAGGCTCAGGGAACTGCAGTTTTGACATTCAAATGGTGTTTGGGACTCCTCTTCTCTCCAATGTAGACTCGAGGTTCTTAACAGCTGGGCAGTGGCTTCCATGATCTCACTCTTTGGTTCATCTTCAAAACGGTCTGCCGTGGGCAATCACACAGCTCACACCTAACGCTCTCTCACTCCTGAACCTTTGCACGAGCTGTTCTGTTCCCCCAGACCTCCCTACTCGACACATCCTGTGCTTCTAGCATCTGCCACTGGCTTTTGCTGATCCCCAGTAAATGTTTGCTAAACTGCCCAGCTGAACCCAGCCTGGGATGGCGATGCTCCTCCAAGGCTTGGTTCCAATGCCAAGAGCTCACTACCTGCAGGATAATGGCTGTGTTTTATGCAGCTTGCATGGGGTTTCTCTGTATGCTATTTGGGATGTGAGGGGTGCACATGTGGTGTGTGCAGATGTGTGATTTGTGGTGTAGCTTTGTATGTGTGTTGGGTGAGGTGGGTGTTCTGTATTGTCAGTATTTAGTTTGTGGGTGGCCTGTAGCATGAGCTGTGTGTATAGTGCACTATGGGTTCTATGTGGGTGCGGGCACATGAGGTTTCTGGGGTTTCCATGTATACGAGGAACACAGGATCCAAAATGCAGGAGACAGGATTATGAAGCACAGTGTGGTGCATCTGTGAGGCTGTTGTGTGCATTGTGTGGTATACATAGTGTATGTGGAATGTGTTTTCTCTTTTTAAAAAAGTTACTCTTATGTGTATGGGATTTTGCTCTCTCTCTCTCTCTCTCTCTCTCTCTCTCTCTCTCTCTCTCTCTCTCTCTCTCTGTGTGTGTGTGTGTGTGTGTGTGTGTGTGTGTGTGTGTGTGTGTGTGCGCACGCGCACACGCGTGCAAAGGCCAGAGGAGAATGTGAAATGTCCTTTTCTATTGCTTTTCATCTTATTCCCTCCCTTGAGATAGTGTCTGTCATTGACCTGGAGATAGCAATCAGCAGGAGTCTCCTGTCTCTGCTTCCCACAGCACTGGGTTACAGCTGTGTGTGTGTGTGTGTGTGTGTGTGTGTGTGTGTGTGTGTGTGTGTGGCCATGCCCACCTTTGTAGGGGAATGATATGGACTCACGTCCTCATGTTCACACAGCAAATACTCTTACTCATAGAGCCCTCTCCTGGTGTGGAACTCCCTTACATTGTGTGCAGATGTGTCACTGTGATTGGTTTAATAAAACGTTAAATGGCCAATAGCTAGGCAGAAGATATAGAGAGCCGTGCACGGCCGTGCCTCAAAGATGGCGCCGGCGTCCGGCTTCTGCCTTCCCGATGGCAGGTGTTCTCTGGGATAATCAACTCCTTATTTGGCTAAGGCTAGGATCTGGCTTGCTTCCGTGCACCTGGACCTAATTGGCTTGCTTGCGTATGTCTGACCCTATCGGCATTGTCCACGTGGCACTATGGGGTTGGTTGCCCAGAGGCTATAAAGGGCGTTGGCTGGCTTTCCCCAGGGTCAGAGAGAGAGAGAAGATGGCTTTCCCTGGAGTCAGAAGATTGTTCAAGGTTCCTGAATAAACTGCTTGGAGAAGAGCCTGGTGTTGCATCTTCCTTGCTGGTCGAGGTGGACACGACAAGGAGGTATAGGTGGGACTCCTGGACAGAGAGGACTCTGGGAAGAAGAGAGATGGAGTCCCCATCCAGATGGGGGACAACTGCTGTGGGATGTTAAATGTGTTGTTCTGATTGGTTGATAAATAAAACACTGATTGGCCAGTAGCCAGGCAGAAAGTATAGGTGGGACAAGGAAAGAGGAGAATGCTGGGAAGTGGAAAGCTGAGTCAGAGAGACGCTGCCAGCCGCTGCCATGACAAGTGAGATGCAAGTACCGGTAAGCCACGAGCCACGTGTCAACTTATAGACTAATAGATATGAATTAATTTAAGATAAAAGAACTAGATAACAAGAAGCCTGACATGGCCATACAGTTTGTAAGCAATATAAGTCTCTGTGTGTTTACTCAGTTGGATCTGAGTAGCTGCGGGACTGGCGGGTGAGAGAGATTTGTCCTGATCGTGGGCCAGGCAGGACTGGAGAAAACTCCAGCTACAGACAGCCAGGATGGGCACAATGGAGAGATGAGGTAACAAGTGTGCGGAAGAATATAGATTAAAAGTTATGGGTAAATTGAAGTTATAAGAGCTAGTTAGAGACAAGCCTAACCTAAGGCCGAGCTTTCATAATTAATAATAAGTCTCCATGCCATTTTCTGTGAGCTGGTGGCCCCAAAAGAAAAATCCATCTACACTCTCCGCAGTGACTGACAAGCCGTTTCTACCAGGAAAGCTAAGACAAGTCACCTCCTTGACAGAGCTCTTTTTGACACCATCGTCAATCTCTGCCAGTTGTGGGTCCCATATTCAGTACTGCCTCAGCTCAGAATGACCAAGCGGAGGTATCTCCCCCGCACAGCCCAGGAGGCCCCTAAGATGTGCTGCATTAGTTTATGCTGTGAAATATTTATTTACTATGTAAAGATGTTTGCATTTGTTCATGCTGAGGAATATTTGTTTATTTAGGTGAAGGTGTGCTGCATTTGTTTATGTTGTAGAATCTCTGTTTAACTATGTAAAGATGTGTTGCTATCTTACCTTGCCTGCCTAAGGCATCTGATTGATCTAATAAAAAGCTGAATAGTAAGGGAGGAGGTATAGGTGGGACTTCCAGGCAGCGAGAATAAGTAGGAGGAGGAATTTAGGCTGGGGTCGGGGAAAGGTGGGGAGAAAGGAAAGAGACGCCAGGGGCCAGACAAGGAGGAAGTGGGAAAGTAGCACATACAGAAAAAAGAAAGGTAAAAAGCCCTGAGGCAAAACATAGATGAATAGAAACAGTTTAAGTTAAAAGAGCTAGTGGGACAAGCCTAAGCTAAGGCTGAGCATCCATAATTAATAACAAGTCACTATGTCTTTATTTGGGAGCTGGGTGGAGGCCCAAAGAAAATTCCAACTATACCCACCCATTCTTAAGATTTTCTTTCCCATGGAGCAAGGCCACTGGAGTTCTACACCCTCATGAATGGGGATGAAAGGAGATGCAGAGAATGGGGGGTCATCTAAGTGAAGTGGGATATATGGGGTGACCAAAGGTCAGGGTACATGGAAATGTAATCAGAAATAAACACTTGTGTTCCAAATGAACCCGGCCAGGTGCCAGGATGCTGACAGTAGCAAGGTGACCACTGTGCACCCCAATTGTCCTCCTTACATCTCACCTCACACATGGACGGGTCACCCAAGTTCAGTTTTCTCAAACTTATTTAATGCTCTCCCCAATGGACTTGTTGTCTCCGTGCTTTGGGCCACACTGCCTCCCTTTCTCAACAGGACACCTCTGTAGATGTAACCAACTGTCTTATTAAATAAGAAACACAGAGCCGATTCAGAGAATAAAGTCAAGAGGTCAGAGCTAAGAGCCTTACCTTTCCTGCTTCAGTGATCCTCTTCAGTCAAGAGAGTTCTCCAAAAAAAGGACCTACTTCCTATGTGTTTGTCTTTATATAGTCTTTCTATTCTGCCTTCTCATTGGTTGTAAACCCAAACACATGACTGCCTCGTCATTGCCTGTCTGTAGAGACTTCCAGGTCTTCTATGGTTGGTATTGAGATTAAAGGCGTGTGTCTCCAATGCTGGCTGTATCCTTGAACACACAGAGATCTACCTAGCTTTGTCTACCAAGTGCTGGGATTAAAGGTGTGCGCCACCACCGCCATGCTCTTGCTATGGCTCTAATAGCTCTGACCCCCGGGCAACTTTATTTATTAACATACAATTAAAATCACATTTCAGTACAAATAAAATACCACCATACTCCTCTATCCGGCTCTCTACCTCCCAACCTCCTCTAACCGTGGAGAATTACTTCCTGTGTCCATGGCTGAAAGGATGATGCTCATTTAAATGTCGGGGTGGCTGTCTCAGTTGATAACTTTTGGTGTCCCACACCCCATAAGGATCATCTTGCCTTGAGGTCGCAGTGTAAGGTGTGGCTTACTTTTTCCCATATGCTTCTCACCTTTCTGAGGACTGCAGTCCTCACGTACATACATGGGTCCAATTGTCTGGGTGCCATTGAACAGATTGCAGCCTGGCTGGGACATGCAGCCCTGCACCCTCAGATTGGAGATGATCTCCCCTAGGACAGGAGGAGAGGGGAGAGAGAGACCTCACACACGTAGGTCATGCGAGCCTCGGAGGCAAGTCCAGCTCTGGGAGGTTAGTTTCACACTCCTTGAGGCTCTTTCCTTCACTCAGTTTACCTTTCCTCCCCAGACACCCAGATCCCCACTCCCAGCCCACCATGTTCAGTCGCGCAGGGTCCTCCATCCAGGCTTACCTCCCCTGAGGCTGAGGACTCCACTGTAGCAGTGTGTGCTGCCTGCAGGGCAGACCTGCTTGGGTGGATTCTCACAGCCATGGGTAGAAAAGCAGAGTGGGCAGCGTGTGGTTCCTGGGACTGGGAGGCAAGAGACGCAGTGAGGGTCAGTGGGAAGCTCTGGGTTTGGATCAGATATCCCTTCTTAGTTCCCCAACATGCCTCACTTTTCCTAGCAAGCCCTCCTGGGCTCCTCCTCTCATGCAGGCCTGACTACAGGGACTGGGGCTGTGATTAGGAGGACAGGGGAAGCCTGCAGAGACCCTGGGACTGGGTGTAGGAAGAGCAGCATGTGGGGACCTTTGGGGCTAGCCACAGACTTCACTGAGTAAGGGGGAGGGGCGCAGAAGCAGCCAGTGGCTTTACAACTTTTACTAAATAGTTAAGAAAAACCCCCTCATAACAAAATATTCCAGAACACAGAAACATGAAGCCTACCAGTTTACCACCTGACAAGGATTGTGGAAAGTCCCAACCCATTGTCCAGTAGGAAGAAGAAATGGGAAAGTCCCAAATGAGATACGAGTGAACCAAAGTCAGCCATATGGAAAGAGGGCAAATACACAAGAAAAGCAGAGCTGCTCAGGACTGTAGTGTGAGGCTGGGAGTTTGGCAGGAAACCCACCCAGGGGGTCAGTGAGATGGTTCAGGAGAAGAACCTGCCACCAAGCCAGACAGCCTGAGTTCAATCCCTGGGACCCACATGTTGGAGGGCAGAACAGATTCACGTGGGTTGTACTCCACAGACTCACTGGTGCACGTGGGCAACCCCCACTCATAATTTAAATAAAAGAAAAGAGAATACAAAACGATCTGTTGCTGGAGAGACAGCTCAGCAGTTAAGAATGGATAACACCAGTGCCAGCAGGGCCTGTCTCTGACTCTGTTGCTGGCTTTTGGGACCCTGCTCTTCATACTTAATACATGGGGAGGTGCTTAGTCTCACCACCATTTGATGTGGCATGCTGTGTTGATGTCCATGGGAGGCCTGCCTTTCCTGAGCAGAAATGGAGGAGGAGTGGAATGCGGGGTGGGGGAGAGGGGCTGGGAGTAGATGAGGGAGGGGAAACTTTGGCCAGGATGTAAAATAAATTAAAAAAAAAAAAAAGGATAACACCCTTGCAGAGGACTCAAGTGTGGCTCCTAGCACCCATGTTGGGAGGCTTACAACAACCTATAACTCCATCTTCAGGGGACCCAATGTCCTCTTCTGGACACACACACACACACACACACACACACACACACACACACACACACACACCCCTAAAAATAGGATCTTTAAAAAAAAAAAAAAAAAAAAAAGGAAATCCACTTCGTTCAGGGTTGCTAGAAGAGGTCAGCCAGGGGAGTTTGGAGTTGTGGGTCTCAGGGAAGTGCAGATGAGGGAATGCAGAAGGTGGGAGAGGGAAGGGCCCTGAAGAGGAGGGAAGGGCCCTGAAGAGGAGGGAAGGGCCCTGAAGAGGAGGGACTGGGAACTGTGGGCTGTGGAGAAAGCAAGAGCAGGCAAAGTGGAGGAAGTGAGCTGGCTGGGTGCTGTCCAGCAAGGGAGAGTCTGTAAATGAATGTCTTCCCTCAAAAGGCACTTCAGCAGCTGGCACCCTGCCTCTCTCCCCAGCACCCAGCTTCCCCCTGATGCCCTCACTTGTCACAGGGGGTGGAGCCCAAAGAGGGGCTGTGGTAGACAGGCCATTGCAGAGGTGTCCTAGGTGGCACATGGGGTGTAGGAGGTGACAGACAGCCCCGGGCCAGTCCTGTGCTCTGTGACTTTGGCCTCTTGGTCCTCAGCAGTCGTGCAGCCCTTGGTGAGAACCAAATTCACCTTCTCCCCTGGACGGATATAAATGGGCAGGTTGAGGCAGAGGTCAGGGCAGTTGCCCAACAGAGCTAAGGGGGCAGGGCCAGGAAAGGGGGCGTGTTTGTACCTAGAGGGCCCTTCTCACCATTCTCTATCATCAGCAGCGTGTCTTGGCAGCCTTCACCAACACCATAGGTTGTCTGGCCAGCTGTCCATTGGAGCGGCAGCTGCGATACATCCCTTGTGATCTCCAATGCCCCATGCTGGCATTTCAGAGCCTCTGCAGCTAGAAAGAGGAGAGAGAGAGAGAGCAAATCCCTCTCAGTAGTGAACTGATCCTGCTTGGTGGGACTTCATTCACAGGCAGCAACAAGTGGACCCTTCCAGAATCTTCTCTCATGCTGTTCAAGGCAGGAAGCCTTGGTGCCCATGACATCCAGCCCATGCCCTCAAGTCCCCGGATCTAGCTGTGGGAAAACCAGCCAACATGAAGATTAATGTTGGTTGAACTCAGTTCCCTCTTGAAGGCCTAAAGTTAGAGAGACACAGGCAGATGAGGACATGGAGACAGGGTCAGAGCAGACCGTGCTTCCCAGGTGAGCCAGGGTTCCTACGGGGCCTTCTTTCCCTGCAATGACTCTCTATTGCCTTGCCAGAAAAGGGTCTAGATGCTGGACAAGAAAATAGTTCTAACTGCAATTTTACTTCTCGAGATGGAAGTATTTCTCCAGGGTCTTCAGAGTGCAGGGTTGTGGAAAGGACCACTCCTGTCTGCCGAGAATCCTGGAGAAAACGCAAAAGCTACATTGTTATGTCTCCTGAGAGTCCTGTAAAACGAAGTTTTCCTCTTACCTCCACTTGCACAGCATGGCCCTGTGTGTGCACATGAACACACGCACATAAATAAGTAAATGTACAAAAAAAAACAAATAAAATGCAAACGGAACATTTGAGGAACCCACTCAAATGTCTAAAGTTTTTGTGTGTGCATGCATGTGTGTGTATGGATGTGTGAGCGTGTGTGTGTGTGAGCATGTGTGTATGTGAGCGTGTGTGTGTGTACTTGGTTATGAACATGCATGTGTGTGTGTGCTTGGTGTGTCACGAGCATGTGGAGGGCAGAGCTTGATGATGGGTATCTCCCACTCTGACTCTCACTGAACCTGGACCTCACTGATTGGCCAGCCAGGGGACTCAGGGAATTCATCTGTTTTTCCCCTCCCCCTCCCAACCCCAGGTCTAGGGTTTTGGATATGTGCTGCTATGCTCAGTTTTACATGGTGCTGGGGTTTCAAACTCTGGACTTCATGCTGTGTGGCAAGTACTTTCTCTGCTGGGCCATCTCCCCAGGTCCCTCTACACTCTCTCCTTGAAGCTCTGAGGGTTAAGCCGACACAGGCCTGTTAGGAGACTGAGGCAGGGGCAGACAAGACCACATGCTTAGAGAAGATAAGACTCTAAATCTATTTTCCATCTCTACTATAGCTTCTCTTTCCCTTGCAACCCTTCTGAGAAGCTCCACCGCCACCCCCATCTGCCAAGTGAATGCCACTGTGGCTGCGTGTGAATGCACTAGTAGGGACACTCCTGGAGCCCCCACTTTACTCTTGCATTCTCTGCCATATCCCAACCCCCTTGATTCTCTCTCTGATTTTCTTTGCAATGGAGCGAGGCTGCTGGGTATCATAGATGAGGATGGGAGAAGTTGATGGAGAGACTGGAGGCGGGTCAAAATGAACTGCGAGACCCAGCATAACACCAGGTCTGGGTGTACAGAATGGGGACAACCAAGCAGGTGGCTGTGCACCAGGCACTTTCCCATTGAGCCTGGACAGGCCATGCGAGCTCACTTGTTCCAGAATTATTCAAAGCTCCCTCAACACTTTTCTCTCCTGGGCCACACCCCCTCTCTCCTTTACATGGACAGCTTCCCTGGAGGGGAGGACAGCCCCCCTCCCCCGCGCTTACACACATCTGAGTGAGTGATACTCCAGGCTGGCTAGCCATGCTGGATGGCTTTGAGTGTCCCACACCCCACAAGGACCATTTTGTCCCGGGCTGCACTGCAAGTGATTTGCCTCCTTTTCCTATGAGAAACTCACCTGACTGGGGGCCGCAGTTCTCAAGCACATCTATAGGTCCAATTACCTTGGTTCCATCAAACAGGTTGCAGCCTGCCTGTGGCATGCAGCCCTGTACCTTCAGGCTGGTGGCAATGCCCTCTAAGAAAGGAGGAGATGGGGAGAGACAGAAACAGAGACATAAGGACCATGCAAGCCTCAGAGGCAAGCCCAGCTCCAGGAGGCCAGCCCTGCCCCACTCTGGGTCTTTTGCCCTGTCCCAGTTTACCCTTGTTCTCCAGACACTCGGATATCAATGCCTAGCCCACTCTCCCAGGGTCCCCGTGTCCAGGCTTACCTCCCCTGAGCCTGAGGACTCCTCTGTAGCAGTGTGAGCTGCCTGTGGGGCAGACATGCTCGGGTGCATTCTTACAGCCATCTTTAGAAAGGCAGAGTGGGCAGCGCAGGGACCCTGGGACTGCAGGTGACGGACACAGTGAGGGGCGGTGGGAAAGCCCTGGGCTTGGTTCAGATGCCTCCTCCCCACTGTGTTCCCCAACATCTCCTCCTGCAGTTCCCCTCATACAGGTCCAGCTGCAGGGAATTCAGGCTATGGTCGAGTTGGGGGGTCAAGGACAGAGGGTGTGGGGAGATCAACAAAGACCCTGGGGCTGAGGTCAGGAGGCACAGGGCCTCGGGAAGGGATGGCTTTTGACACAGGATGTAGATACAGATTAGATCAAGGAGAGGGGGGTGCCCTAGAATGAACCAATGGTTTCACCCACAACTTCTGCTAAGCAGTGAAAGAAAAAACAACAACAACAACAGTTATTCAGCAAATCTTCCAGCATGCCACAGCCCCAAATGCCATGCAGCAGCAACAAAGGCAGCATAAAGTCCCAGGCCAGGGCTGAGGAGACATGCCTTGGGAACACAAGGACCTTTGTTCAGTTCCCAGCACCCATGTATAAAACTAGGTATACTCGCCCACTGAAGCCCCTGAAACTGAAGAGGCGGAGCAAGTGGACCCCTGGGGCTTGCTGGTCAGCTAGCCTACCCTAATCTGTGAGCTAGCCTAGGTTCCAATGAGAGACCTGGTCTCAAAGACACTAACTGGATGGTTTCTGAGGAATGGCACCCCATGTTGGACTCTGGCTTCTACACATATCCACATGCATATGCACCATCCCCCACACGCACGTGCTGATGTACACACACACCTGCACACACATGAACACACTGGTACACCCACATCCTCATACAACAAACCAACCAATCAACAAAGTTGGAGGCCAGTGCCCCTTAGGGAAAGGAAACAGAGAATCCATGTATGAGAGCCACCAGTGAGTCAGTCCCGGCCACATGGAAAGAAGGGCTATGCCGGCAGAACAGGGGTAGGATCGAGCGCCAGGGTTGAAGGCTGGTGGTTCACCATTAGAAAATATGGCTGACTCATGGCTCCAACCCTGTTGTCAAATGCTGGCAGGAGTGTTCTGAGGCAGGATGGAGGGAGTAGAGGGTGGGAAGACAAGGAGGATGAATGAATTGGAAGAGGAAAAAGGACAGGGGTACAATCGAGGCTGGGATGGAGCCAGTGAGCTGGCCAAACTTCCGTTGTCTAGTGAGTGTCTGTAAAAGAATAACCCTGTATACTGATTTCTCTCCCCAATCCCTTCTCCTTCCTTATGCAAATCCCTCCCCCCCCCCCCCCGTCATTCTTCCTCCCTGCGGCACCTGTGGGTGTGGGTAGGTCCCCAAGAACCTCAGTGCTGGACACATCTTTGCAGAAGTCACTATGGTGACACACACGGGTGTAGGAGACAATAGAGAGCCCGGGACCGGTCCTGAGCCAGGTAACCCGGGGCTCCTGGTCCTCAGCCTGAACGCAGTCCTTGATGATCAGCAAGTTTATTCGGGGTCCTGGGTGGAGAAGGGAAGGCGGGTGGAGGTGGGGGTTGGGATTGCAGGGTCCTGGAGTGAGTTTGGACATCCCAAGGTAAGGTGAGATGTAAGGAAAGAAAGGACTGGGCATGGATGGATCGCACCTGCAGCTGAGGAAGAGCTCCTCCCAGGGATGCAGGATGCCGGAGGGCCCGTGGGGCGGGTCTCTTCAGGGAGTTTCTTACCATTCTCCAGGAGCATCACCAGGTCTTGGCAACCCTCACCGACCTCACAGGTTCTCTCACCGGTTTTCCACTCAAGGGGCAGCTGCGAGGCATTCCGCACAGCCTCGATTATGGCCCTTTGACAGCTCAGAGCTGATATACCTGGGATGAGAAGATCAGCTCCATATCACCAGATGGTTACCTTGTGCCACTTCCTGGGACAGACGTCCCCTTCCAGGTGAGATTTCTCACATACAGGGTAACAGAGTGGTGACTCCCAGGAGGGTCAGCACTGGCATAAGGTTCATGACTTCAGTCTGTGGCTAGAAATGCTTCCAGTGCTCTTTAAGCAGGAAATGCAATCCTTTTATACCCAGGATTACCCAAGGCAGCCCAGGAAATGGGGAGTGCTGCCTTGCAATACACACCAGGTCGGCGCCCTGCCCTGAGTCTACTACATGAAAGGCTAGGCTGTTTGGATAGTTCCTTCCCCTGGACTGAAGAGTACAGACCCAGACTTCATCTCTTAGAACCAGGGGTCCAGCTCCCAGACCCTCCTCCCTTAGGCTCAAAGGTCCTGGTCTCAGTCTTCTTACCATTAACCCAAGGATCTAGACCCTAACACCCTCCTCCGAGCCAGGAGTCTAGGACCCAGCCCTCCTTTCCACAGTCCTAGGGATTCAGACCCCAAACCCCTTCCCTCGGACTTAGGAGTCCAGGCTTAACCCTTCTTCAGACCCACAGCTCTAGGTCCCCAGCCCTCCTTCCTCAGACCCAGGACTCCAGGCCCAGCCTCTTCCCTCAGACCCAGGACTCCAGGCTCCAGCCTCCTCCCTCAGAACCAGGACTCCAGGCCCAGCCTCTCCCCTCAGACCCAGGAATCCAGGCTCCAGCCTCCTCCCTCATACCCAGGACTCCAGGCCCAGCCTATTCCCTTATACCCAGGACTCCAGGCCCAGCCTCTTTCCTCAGACCCAGGGGTCCAGGCCCCACCTTCCCTTCCTCAGACCCGGCTCCTTCCACAATAAGAACTGGAGTTATCCTGAACTCCAGTGACCCTATGGTTCTTCCCCCATGAGCCACCTGCGTGGCCCCTACCATGTTCCCAAATACTACAGGAATCCTATTTCTTCATCTCGGCTACCTTCTAGCCAGGTGGGCCAATGACTCAAATGTCTGTGAGGACATTGCGAAGTGTACCTCAGCCCTTCTTGCCCTTGCTTCTGTCCCTGACTGGTGATCTGTATCTCCCTTGCCCTTTTTGTCCTTTTACATTGCTTTTCTGTCTATTCCTCCACCATCAGAGCTATTCCTTTTGTTCTTTACCTCACAGAATAATACAAGAACCAGTGTGATCACTTCCTGAACAAGGTGATCTCTATGGAGGAGTACCCTATTTCTTGAGGGGCTGGAGAGACGGTGGTTCAATGCTTTACCATCGAACTGGCTGCTCTTACAGAAACCCCAGATTCAGTACCAGCACCCACATGGCGGCTCACAATCACCTCTCACTCCAGTCCCAGGGCATCTGACAAGCTCTTCAGACTCTTTTGGCACTGGATATGCATGTGATACATATACATGCCTGAAGGCAAAACACTTATGCACATAAATAAAAAAAATTGCATATTTCTTGACAGTGCAAGATGTCCTTGTCTCAAAAGGACTTAAAAAGTGGTATGCTAGAAAACCATTGTTATTACTTTATTATTAGAAAAATGGCATCCATAAATATTGACATGATTTGGGAGTTAATGTGCATTCACTTGCAACACTCAGTTTAAGCAGTGCTGGGTCTATAACCCTGGGCTTCATGGGTACTAGGCAAAGCACTTTATCAACTGAACCATGGTCCCACCCCCCTTCTTTCTCTTTTCCATTAGATTCTGTTGCTAAAATTCATTCCCCCAGAGACATAACATCTACCCATTCTGCAAAGGTCCCAATCACAATCCAAGGTACAGTTTCACCAAGTTCACCCTCGGGAACCAGTGACTTTATTAGGCTCATTGACAGAGCAATGGAGGTCACAGACAGAAGCCTAGGTGGCTTTAAAGAGGCCACACTGGGAGGTGGCTGACTCCTCAAGGCCACATAGATGGAGCCTCCTCCCTAGTCTTTCCCAGTCTATGTACTTCCAGACTGTCTCTGAGGCCGCATGCAATCAGGGAAGAATTGCATACACCTGTTGGGAGACTGGGCTGGATACTCAGGTGAAGGTCCCATGACACTCTCCCCTTCCCCCTCCTTGCTACAGGTCACAGGAATATATCATAAGAACGCGGCTGGTTATGGCAAAGTCACTACCTGAAGGGATCAAGGAATTCCTTCAGAGGAAGCCAAATTCCAAGGAGCTTTTGGTGTTACTTGGCCTGTTATATATCAGCTGTCTTCTGTTATGAAAATCATGTGTGCCTTCATAGTTTTCCCAATTGACTTTCCCCAAAGAATTGCTAACAGAGTGGACTGATCGTTCTCTGGACATATACATTCAAGGTATTTGGAGAACAGGCTCAGGAAAGACTTCCTTCCCTCAGGCCCACCCATTTCTTCTCCTTTCAGCACTGGAATCAGATCTCTCCCTTAGCCACATTCAAGGACTAACAGAAACAACAGTCCAAACCACCACATAATAAGTCTCCTGAATTAAGGTAAATTCCACACAGAGACACTGCCTAGATCTGGTGGACCTTAAGTAATAGCTTCATACAGTTTAGCTTGGACCCTTCTTTTCTTACAGCCTTACTAACTTTATAGACCTCTAACTCCTTACCTAACCACTTCTAGGAATATTTAGATAACCTTGTGCGCTGACAGCTATGCACAGCCACAGTTCAACCTCCCTGTAATTGTCATCATTGGCAGCATCCGGTCGGGTCCATACCCAGACAGAGGAAAGTACCTTATCAGAGATACCTCTGTACTCTCTAAGAACAGACTTGAGCGTCCAGACTACCCGTTTGAAAAGACCTGGCAGATGTGCCAATTAAGCTTAACTTCCTCCTTTCCCAAATCTTACCTCTGGTTCCAGATCTCCCTTTAACTATCACCAGAGGCATCTAGCTGTACACAGGTTGCCCAGCAACCAAGCACATTTTCCCCCACCCTGTAGAAAAACTGCAGATAGCTTGGACAGATAGGAGCTACAGGAAAAAGAAGGCAGTTTTATTTTCTCCCATTGATCCAGCAACTTACTGATGCTTAACATTTTCTACCAATCACATTTAAGATTATAGTTGAGCACATAAGATCCCTCTTCTTAGATATTACCTGAATTTAGCCTTTAGTTAATTCATTTCCCCATTAGTCACTTCCCTCTTGGGTTGCAAATGATAATTAACAATTACTGCCCCTCTATGTGATTCTTATCACCCCTCCGTTTGACCCTGGAGTCCTGGCTTTGCATTGCCAAGGGATTACTGCTTATAAGTGTATATATACTGGGACTCCCAGGGCACGGAAAGATAGAGAAGAAGATTTGGAAGAATAAATGTTTGGACTAAGAGCTCGGTGTGCTGAGATTTTATTTCCTGAAAATAGTCCTCGCTGTTCGTAGTTCTCTCTCTCGAGCCCCTGGGAAGTATAATATTAAGGCTGGTCCCTCTAATATTATACAAGACCTATTGCTACAGGTGGCACCTGGCAGGGAGTGATCAACAGTCAACAAGCCCAGCTGTGGTGGTCTTTTGCAAGTGGGCACAGCTGGACTCATGAAGACAGTGGCAATTTGACTCGGAGGACAGGCCTGTCCAGCAGATGCAAAGACCAAAAAACTACCAGTTGTTTGTCTTAGAGGGGTCCTGAAACTGACCTGAGTGGGGGGAAGGGGCCTGCTCGAGGCTTTGGAGGCCAGTTATTGTGTTCAATCTAGAATCAGTTCTGGGTCCTGGCTGAATCACTTGCTTAATTTTTCCTTCTCTACTGGCAGAGGGGCTCATCCATTATGAAGAGGCCAGATCATGTCAGAACTTGCACCAGATATTCGCTCACAGTTTTCAGCCAGATTCCTGAGCACTTGAGGGCGATTTCTCCATGGAGACCGGTATGATTCTAGAAAGCATCATATGAACATTTCTTCCTTAGAGATAACGATGCCACATAACACCTTCCCAGACTTCCTTACTGACATGAGAAGGAAGTACTTTCCCTCTGGGTTTCCTCCAGCTCCAACCTTGGCACCTGTCACATGTCTAATCTTCCTGGGGTATGACTGTCTCTCCCTCCCTAATTCTGAGCAGGGCCCTGTATGAGGCCTCTGTATGCACAAGGTCAGTAGAGTGACAAGGATCTCCCATTCCATTCATCTTCAGAACTGCCCAAGCCATGGTTTTCCTTTCCATTTTATTATTCTTCTATTATTATTAATATTAATTATTATTATTATTATTACTACTACTACTACCACCACCACTACCACTATTACTGAGTGCTAGAGGTTGGACCTAAAGCCTCACACATGCTTGTCAAAGCACTCCACTGCTGAGCTACAGCCCCATCCCTGCTTTTATTGGTTTTCAACAACAGTCTTTATCTCTTAGTCATTGAATTCTTGGCTAATTAAAAACACTCTGGGGCCTTTGGATGGATGGACAAGGGCTTTTTTAGGGTGAACAAAGCCCTGGGTTTGATCCTCAGCTCCAGCTGAACTGGACCTGGTGGTCCACCACTGTAATCCCATCACTCTGGGGGCTGAAGCTGAAGGACCTCAAGTTCAAGGCCAGCCTAGGCTAACTAGGGAGAGTTGTGTCTCAACAAGACAAGAAGAGAAAAGACAAGAAAAAGAGGATGGGGAGATGGCTCAGCATTAAGAGGGCTTGCTGCACCCATGTTGGACCCTTCACAACTGCCTGTAACTAGTTCTGGAGGGGCCTATCCAGTTTCCTCTTTGGGCCTCTAAGGATATGTACACACACCTATTCATACCCACACAGACACAAGAATACACATGATTTTAAAAAAATAAGAAAGAAAAAGAGAAGTAAAAGCTTGCTTCACAAAGCCAGGAAATGGTGGCCATGAGCGGGAAGGCTGGCGTTTAACACCGTTTTCTTCTGCTCAGATGATCCCCAAGTCACTTGAATGATCCATTTAGAATCTGTTTACCTGCCAAGTGCCCAGGGTTCTCTGGAAAATCAAAGTTATGCACTTGGCACAGTGACCTGCATTTGGGTTGGAGGACTGATTGCATATGATAAAGAAGGGAGAAAGTTCTGTCAGGACATCACTGGGCATTTACATGAATGAGGACTTGAGTTCGATCCCAGCACTGGGGAGGCAGAAACACAAGGACTCTGGAGTCCTTTAGACA